ATAAAAAAATGAGTGAGAGCCCTTCTGCCACCTAGTGAAGAAACTGTGGTTTCCTCCATTTCCACCACCTGCTCCGGTGCCTCAGGACCTCCCAGGTTTCCTTTTCCTCCACATTCCTGCCTGCCACCCTGCACACGGCTGGACTGCAGCCCCACCCAAGGGACACACAGCTGACAAGACACCGCAGTACAGCCCGTCCCTTGCTGGGGACACATCTAGGTCCTTCACCACCCCATGCCACAGATTTTTCTGATGTCCAGAATTATTTCAGGTATGTCCAGCTTGCCTGAAACAGACCAAAGCTCAGAAACCATGAGGTGAGAACACAAGCCTCCTCCCCTTCAGCTGTGGTACCCCTCTGAATCATACTGCCCTTGCTAATTCCCAAACGGCAGAGCCAAGGAGCTAAAGATGGAAATGAGAAGAACTATGGGAAGGCGTGTGCTTGTCTGTTTTAAATACCTACCGCTCTCCCCAAGAGTAACAGGAAAAAGAAAGAGGACTCTTTGGTTTACTTCAATGGTTATGCCTCTACATTGCTGCAGCAAAGAAATTGTTTTCAGTACTCTTGTAATCCTCAGCTTCTGAAAAGAAGAAATACCATGCTCTTGATCTATTAGAGCTTTGTATTCATACTGCAATAGTTTGCATTACCCCTAAATGCACAATCTGTATAATTTTATTTAAAAGTAGCAAAGGTATTTACTGCTTTAAACTTTAAACCAACTTTAAACTTTTTGGGGGGGGGAATGGACTTCTTCGTATTTTCTTTAGATATGACTGATTAAGATAACCACAAAACCTTCCAACAAATCTGCCACAATTAAAATAAAAACTTCATATACACACCCTGTGCGAGAATTAGAACAGCACACTACTTGTTGTTCTTTGACAACTGTCAAGTGCATTCCCATGTAGACTTAATTTATTCAGCAGGCTTGTCAGAGACAAGCCAATACAGAAAACATAAACATCCCATTAAATGTTTCAATTAATATCAGTAAATTCCCACTGCTAAATAATTTAGTTCAGCCACATACTTTGAACCTAAATGTCAGGACAGGAGAGGTAAACAGATGCCAAATGATAATTCAGCTGAGGTACATCTTGGATATTCCTTACCACACCCTACTGCCAAAAATGGAAGTATTCATGCACAGGAGTATTGATGCATTTCAAAGGTGAAAATGCATTATAGTATCCGAAGAAGGAGATTGTGCTCATTTGGAAAAATCCACCTCAGTTCTTGGGGAGCAAACAGAAAAATACATGACATCCTGTTCTGGAGACCTAGGAATCCAACAAGCATTGACTCTAAACTTAGGCGTGAACATCTGTCCCAGCTCACATTTCCATGTTGCCTGACACACGGGTAGTTCGAGCAACTCTTTGGTCTTCATACTCCCTCTTTTGTAAGTCAAGTCAGCAACTGTAACATTTACTGGATGCACAGCACAGGGAATATGATTCTTCCATAAAACGGGTACAACACAAGCATTGTAAGATCAACATCTCCACAAACTGGACCAAAGGGTCGTCACCTTCGGTGAAGGCAATCAGCAATTCAGAGTCGATGGGCAGCGCACAAGCTGCGCGTGCCTTCTTTGCTGACAGTGGATGTCCTCTCCTCAGGAGTACAGCAGACCAAAACCTGTACACTCTGCATGTCCACCCTTCTCCAAAACGTACAGTAATTATTTATAGGCATAGTTTTAAAGTCATTTCCACACTACAAGACAGATATTCAATACTTAACATCCATCCACTAATTAAACACTGGTCATCTCAGTCTCTTGACAGTGGAACCCTTTTGAAGGGCATCATCATTTGGAAAGAGTTCTCACTGATAAATAAGTGACGTTCATCACATTTTTTATATCCCTGATACTTCCAGCTGAAAGTTTCATGGTTTTCCCACTATTAAATAGCTTCACAGAAATTCAATTGAGTCTGTTTGCAGCAGTCCATTACCCTCAGGCTTAGAAGAAGCTTCTGCCTTGGTGAGGTTTCTGGGCTCCTTTTAAACAGTAAACAGTTATGCTGCACTTAAAAAATAAAAATGTCATACAAAAAATAAAAATTTTTCAAATCTTGAAAATAGTGATTCTTCTTTGTATTTTCCATTCAGCTTTCACGTCAAATTGACCACAAAGTTCTTGTCTATAAGCTTCTTCAAGAATGTCTGCTCAGCACTGATGTTGTGATATTCATTCTAAAAAGATGTGAGGAAATAATGAAAAAAAATAAATATCAAATTATAACCAGAAGCACCACTTCACTGTTATCTTCTTTCTATTACCTGTGATACTTGGAAGATGCTAAGAGTACGAAAGTTCTGGGGAAAAGACTTCTTAGCAAAGGCTTAGCACAGTCTCTCAAGGAAACAAGGAATTATTGCTCAAAACTACATTAGATTTTTCCATTAGGACACAACCAAAAAGGATGATCCTTTGGTGGCAAGAATGGGTGAGATGTGGTCTCAGAGAATTCCTTCCTTTATTAACTCTCTCAACTCCTCACTCTGCTTAGACAGAACAACTGAGTGACCACATTGACAGCACAAGCAGTGAGAAAACTAGTAATTCTCAAAACTCATTGCAGGTTCTTGAAAAGCACATCAGATGCATCCTGCCAATCAGTTTCAGCAAGCCAAAAACAACCCATCTTCTGTGCTGTACCCAGATCCTGGACACACAGGAGACCACTGAGGTTAGTGGAGGGCAGCACAAGGAAAGTAAATTTACTTAGGCACCGAATCCAGTAAATTAAAATGAATATAATAAAAATACTACATAAAATACTATACATATGTAGTATAATATTTGCAACTTAATGACACTGAAGAATTAGCAGTAAGATTTTTGTTTAGTAGTTTTTTGAAGTTTAAAGCTTTTAGGAAACTTACGGATGTCTATGCAACTAATGATCAACCTTACTCAAGTTTAGTATACACTGCAAAACAGCACATGCAGAGAGGAGCCACAAAACGAAGGTGAGTTCAGTGTTAGAGGAAAATTATCTCAGAACAGCAGGAATCTAGGAGTCCTGAGAGAGACATGAGAGGCTCTTACAGGCACTGTCCCTATCCATCCTCTTCAGGAAAAGAAAAAAGAGGAAAACGGTGCCCAAGTGCTCTGGGCAAATGGAAAACTTCACACTGAGGTGAAGGGCTGAGATGGGGTGCTGGGAACACAGAGCCAAAGGCAACTGAAGACAAGAGTAGAGACATAAAAGAAAACAGAGGCATGACCATAGCCAAACAGCAGGGAAGAGAGAAGGCATCCCTGATGTTTGCCAGTTTCCTGCTGCTTCCTCTCCTGTTAAATTGTGGCTTCCCCATCCTGGAAGCGGTTCCTTCTCTTCCTAATCTCCTCCAAGAGCTGCTTTTCTTTTCTGCTTTCCATTTCCAAAATTCGGTTCTCTTCCTAACTGCAAGTTCCGCAGGTCTTACCTCCTTCCATTTCCCTTTGCTCTTCCTTCTGTCTTCTAAGGGGTTTAGTAGCTATGACAAACTGTGCAAGCAGGTGCCAAGGAAAAAGAGAATGCAAACAGAAACACCACCACTCACATTCTGACAGTGCTAACGAAGACATCTCTATGACACGAACTGTGCAGCGTAAGGACAGCGTAAGGACACCAGCAAAGCAGAGTGAACACAAATGGACATATCTCATGCAGACACTGCAGAATATGGTGCAGCACAAGGAACACAAATATCATTATCTACATTCTTCAAAAACAAAAGCAGAGGAGGAGAGTCAAGCAATGTTAATCCACAAGCAGCTGAACCAGGAGAAGGCAGGAGGCTTTCTGACCTGCAGTCCACCCTTCTTATCTATATGAAGTTGTCTTCCCCAGTTACCAGCTATAATTCTCTCAGCACAAACACATTAAGAGTTACCTGGATCATCTGAGACATGGTTTCATTCCCATAGTAGTGCAAAGAACTGTTTCTGTCAGAGAAGTCATACTTGAAGCCTGCCAGGTGGACTTCGTGGCATATGTGAAATGCTAGTGTAATGGCAATCAGCCCTGTTGTTGGGTGTTTGGGTTTCTAAAACAAAACACAGAGAGAACACATAAATAAACACCTGGTAGCTTGATGGGAACAGCAAACTTAAAGACAAAGGAAATCAGGCAGCCAAGAAATCAGACAGATGTCTGGTTTCATAGTTTGATCCCCTCATATCTCAAAAGAGGACAGCACCGCCCAAAGGTTTCCCATGACCGAGGTGTCTGCCATGTCAGCCTTCCCTGGGATTCTCTGATTTCTAGTTAGGGCCAAGCCTGAGGTGTAGCCCTTCCTTCCACAGAGGCATCAGGAAGTTCCCTCCATCACTCTGCTCCACAAACTACTGAACTCTGCTCAGCTACTTTCATGAAACTGGTCAGGCTTCATTACATTGGAGAGTATCTCACCCATCAAGTATGACCGAATTACCAGATACGTTCAGAAGTTTCTAGATGATGGAGACCCAGATGAACAGAACATGACATGCCTCAAATCTTCATAGCACCAAACTAAAAAAGCGTGAATGGTACCACCACACAAACTTGACTGAATTTGAATTTTTTCAAAGCAGGGAATTTCCAGAAGACCATTGCTTTAGACCTTCCCCTACTATTCTCATTAGAAGAAGAGAAACCTGTAAGTAAAACTGCTTATTTCTCCCTACAGTAAGAAAAGCTCAGAAGTAAATGCAATGTAAAATATCAAAAGCAGGTCATAAACCGGTTTTAACTGTGCAAAATTAAGAGTAGCTGACCAAAAGCTAGCACTTCTCACAAAAGCACAGAACAACTCCGTGCAACCATCTGCCCTGTCTTGTGATCAAGTATTTGACTTTTTCAGCAGCAGGAGCTAATATGATCCAGGGAAGTAAATGAGGCAAGGTTTTTCAGAGAGGTGAACTCTT